TGCGGAGAGGGCTCTCCGGGCTGAGGAGCCGCCTGGGAGGAGGCCCCGCGGCCATCGCCCGATACGCGGCGCAGAGCACGGGGCTGAGCGTGCCCTCGAGCGGGCTGGAGCTGCTGGTGCTGAAGGGCAAAGCCCCCCCAGGTACGAGGCCCCCCCAGGTACGAGGCCGGCTCAGGAGGGACACGCTGTGCCTGCAGAGCCGCCCTGCTGCGGGGCCATCTCTGCATTCCCCAAAACGAGTCATGAATTCTCAGTGCCCACCTGCAAATTAAACTCATTCATTACCAAGAGGTCACACTGGCCATTGCCCCGGCAAACTGCATGCCACTGCCGTGAGCAGTCACAGCTCACGGAGCTGGTGGCTGTCAGCACTGTTCAGTCTCCTGGACTCTTAGTATATTCTCAGTAGGATATATAGTATATTCTATATACCAGTAAGCTCTTTTAAGGTACCTGTAGGACAGAGTTGTGCTTTAAGACAGGCAGAACTAAGGGCAGCTGTAATGTGAACTCCACTTACATCCAGAAAATTGGCATTAATGCCATAGAACTTTATTAGGATATATCCTCCTGCAGGCTGCTGGCAAAGGCGTGTTCTGTCGGCCACTGCATGGTGTGAAAACACAGCCAAGGCTCTGGTGTCTGCAGACACCAGGAACGTCTGCACCTTGGCATGCTAATTCCTTGTTACAGTGCTTCATTATTGGCTTTATTTCATTTTCATATCGGTGAGCAGTGAGAATCTCCAGAGGTTTTCGGTGAAACGCGCTTCTCTTTTGTCTAACTGCTTGTGTCCTTGTCTTCCAGAAGTGAAGTCCGAAGCTAAAGCTGCCCTGAACCAAGCGCTTGAAATGAAGCGGCAAGGAAAGCGGGAGAAGGCCCACAAACTCTTTGTTTATGCCCTCAAAATAGATCCCGATTACGTGGATGCCCTGAATGAATTCGGCATCTTTTCTGAAGAGGAAAAAGACATTCTTCAGGCAGACTATTTGTACTCCAAAGCGCTGACCCTTTCCCCGTGCAACGAGAAAGCTTTGATCAATCGGGACCGAACTCTGCCCTTGGTTGAAGAGATAGACCAGAGGTACTTCAGCATTATTGACAGTAAAGTCAAAAAAGTGATGGCAATCCCCAAAGGCAATTCCGCCCTGCGCCGGGTGATGGAGGAGTCCTATTACCACCACATCTACCACACGGTGGCTATCGAGGGGAACACGCTGACGCTGTCGGAGATACGGCACATCATCGAGACCCGCTACGCCGTGCCCGGGAAGAGCCTGGTGGAGCAGAACGAGGTCATCGGCATGCACGCCGCCCTCAAGTACGTCAACACCACGCTCGTGTCGCGCATCGGCTCCGTGAGCAGCAGCGACATCCTGGAGATCCACCGGCGCGTGCTGGGCTACGCCGACCCCGTGGAGGCCGGGAGGTTCAGGACGACGCAGGTGTTCGTGGGGCACCACATCCCGCCGCATCCGCAGGACGTCGAGAAGCACATGGAGGAGTTCGTGCAGTGGCTCAACTCCGAGGACGCCATGAGCCTGCACCCCGTGGAATTTGCTGCGCTGACCCACTACAAGCTGGTCTATATCCACCCCTTCGTGGACGGCAACGGGAGGACCTCGCGGCTCTTGATGAACCTCATACTGATGCAGGCGGGCTACCCGCCCATCACCATCCGCAAGGAGCAGCGCGCCGAGTATTACCACGTCCTGGAGGTGGCCAACGAGGGCGATGTGAGGCCCTTCATCCGCTTCATCGCGAAGTGCACGGAGACGACGCTGGACATGCTGCTCATCGCCACCACCGAGTACTCCGTGGGGCTGCCCGAAGCCGACGGCGGCACCGCGGCGCGCGGGAGAACCATCCCCGTCACCACCTGAGCGCGGGGGACCCACGTGTGGAGCAGAAAGCCCCTCAGGACTCCTGCCAAGAAATAATGCCACAGGAGCGGTCACTTGTTAGCATTTCATTTATTTAAAGTCTCTTACATTTGATTAATTTAATGTAATTTATTTATATACATTACGCCAAGCCGACACGTGGATTGTTGATGTTGAGCGTGTGCTGTAACTTGCCTGTGCTCCTGGACGGAGATGGGCAGAGGAATCAGGAGGGGAGCGAGTTGCAGAGGTTACTCAACAAGCTGCAGGAGAAATGATTTTATTTCTCCTTAAACTTCAGCTGGGAGAAGCCACTTCGAAGGCAGCCCTGTTCGCAGTTTGTCGCGTGTCGTGGCGCCCACGGGGCTGCCTTCACTTGTCACCCCTTCCCTGGGCTCCCGCAGCTCCGGCACCGTCCTAGCCCTGTCCCTCGGGCCGTGCCTCTTTGCACGTACAAATTTTCCCTCCTTTTATTTATTACTGCTAGTGAAGGAAGAAACTTCAGGCCAGCGAGGGCATTTTCCCCTTCCCTTTGTATTTTTAGTAGCACTTTGCATGTTCCCTTTCGGTCGCCTTGCTGGGGCGGGTTTGTGCAACAAGGGGGAAATCCTTGGTTTAAGGCTACGCACCAGCTGGGGAGAAATGCTCTGGGGCTCCTTATTTAACTGCAAGTTGCTTTTGCTCTGCCTTAGAGCTCACCTCACCAAGCAGGATCCTGGAGAAACTGCAGCTCTTCCCTCCTTTCAGTTGAGGGTCTGAAAAACAGCTTGTTTCTGCAAGGAATTGCTAGAGCTGACAGGGAAACAACCCTTATCAGCCTTACCCCTTCACTCGAGATTTGTAGAGCGATTTCTCTACATCCTAAAAACTCTTAGGCAGCTGCTGAAAACTTTGAGCTCCTTCACTCTGCACAAGAGAAGTTCTAGCAATGACTAGTTCATGTTCCTACGGTGCTGCATGTTGAAAGCATCACACAAGGCTTCTTTGTGCTGCAGCGTCAGTTAATGGAGCTGGAAGCTGCTGTCCAGCTTAACGGGAAAAAAATTACAGGCAGCACTAAAGATCCTGTCTGGACCCAAAAGATAACTTATCTTTGCTTTTGCTTTAAGGGTAAAAGCACCAACAATCTAATTTTATGAGAGAAGCTCTCTGGACAGTGCCTGTCCATTAATTCCAAATGTGATGGATCCCAACACTCCACTCTGGACTGCACCTAACAGCACTGAGTGCAGAAAACTTAAGATTCATTGCTTTGCAAAACCGCCTGGGTTGTTACACCCTCCTGTGCCATACTATTTCCTCCACTTTAAGTATTTCTTACGTGCAAAACTGGTATATTTTATAGAACAAGAGGACAAGCCCTGGAGCTACCTCTGTGCTGTACCCCCCAGTATTTATTACTGCTGACAGAAAACAGAAGGGGAGCTGTTCGGTTTTTACAAAGCATGCTTTATTTTTGTAGTGCAAGGTGAATATATCAAAAAAAAAATCTGCACTTTAGAGCTCTGAAAAGTTATTTTAGTAACAGATTAATAAAGTATTTTAATATTAAAGTCTTTGTTTGGAATAAACTCTTCTCGGAACCCTTTTCTACTGCAGTGAACTAGGAAAGGGTCACCCCTCCGTGCCCAAGTGCTCTGCAGGACACGCTGGTGGCCCTGCACAGGGCAGCGCTGCTGCAGGAGGTGGCCCTGGCACCGGAGAGCAGCGCCGGCTGCACGTGCCCTCTCCCACCAAGTCAACCTACGGATTAACCAGCACTTGGAATGAGCTGGTTCTGTGCTGCAAGGGGCACTGAGCCCCCGCTGGACGCCTGTCCCCAGGTTCTGGAGGAGGAGAGGGGACAGGGGACAAGCACGGACGAGACGGGGTCCCTCAGCGCGGCGGCCGCACGCGCCTCGGCCAGAGCTGCCCTGCCAGCGCCTTCATGTCCAAGCACAGCCCCAGCAGCAGCACAAACCCTGGAAATGGGATTTGTTTGCAGCAGCCTTGGCCCTGCTCCCCCTCATGCTAGCTCCCACCGCGCTGGCTTCCCGGGATAGCAGCGCTTCCAGCTGGAGAAGCAACACTATTTCTACGCAGGCTCGTGCACTAGACTATTTTAAGTCACCAGGGTGATTGCTAAAGTGGTTTCAGGATATTCACACTAAAGGGAATGAGGTACTTAAACATGGAACTGATCTCAGTGCACCTGAGAGGGGAGGTACATCAGTATCACCCAGCTGCCATAGGATAAGTGCAATTCAGTCACCCACATTTAAACAAAAGCAACAGTATTTATAGAAAACCTTTGAGAACTGGAGTTTAATAAACCAAGAAACTTCAGCTTGCACTGCACATTTGTACAAAACCATACAGAAACCACCTGCGAAGACACGGAGCTGGCTAGCAACCCAAAACAAAAAATGGTCCTCAGCAACAGCATGTACAGCTCTCATGGGAAACAGAACTCTGCAGCTAGTAGTAGCTCATGACACTTAAAAATAATCGTTTGAATGTCATTTACAAATACACAATATAAAAAACAGGTCAACTCGAACAGGACGTTAACTGAACACATAGATATGTGTGTATATGTGTGTATCTACACATATACACACACAGGTATAGAAACTCTCCCAATACTAAAATAGGCCATTGTGGTGAAGTTACTAGCATTTGCCATTTTGTAATGGAAAGGTGGGTGTGTAAAAAGGAAACGTGTTTGTTGTCAGAGAGAAGGACTTCAATCACAATCTGAACTTCCGACCAGCGCAGCGAGCTCCTCACTAGGCTTTCACGTAGCATCTCATTCTTTAATGAAAGAAAAATATTCATGAAGTATTTGTAAAGTCCCGTGTGACATCCACCCTGTCAAGGAAATATTTCCTCCCTCGTTACCCTCAATATGAGGGATCATTTAAAGCCATTTTACCGGAACATAGTATAACTCTTTGCTCTTAGAAACAGAGAAAAAAAAAAAAAAAGGGATTTGTACCATTCTACACTGATCTCCATGAATGTAGTAGTCCGGAACTGTATTTATACATGATTGTGACTGGCGCTCTCCCCTTGCTAGCACAAGTAAGGACACAACATGGCTTCCAAAAAGGCATTTCACATTTTACCAGCCCAGCTGCTTGCAGCCCGTTTGCTCACTCCTTCAGTAGCATCCTGGCAAAGTCGGCGTTGGACATCTTCCTGGGCTCCTCGGGGGGCTCGGATGAAGCTGCTGGTGAATTCTGGACCATCCCGTTCTCAGCCTTAGCCACGGGCTGGTTCTGGCGCTGCAACGCGCGGGGCATCATGGAGAGCTGCGTCCTTCCCTTGCCGCGCCTGCAGGGCGACAAGTCCCGGTTAAAGAGATTCCAGTTCTCTTTGGCCAGATTGTTTAAGTGCAGGGAAACAACAAGCACTTTGTTCACCAACAGGGACACTCATTCTTCTCATTTGCTTCAGTAATAAGCAGAGCACAAAGCTTCTAACTGATGCCCTCGGAAACCCTACACCTACCCCGGTGGAAAACAACTGCTCGACAGTCCCCGCTGACCAAAGCTGCCTGTTTTTCCACAGGACACACAGGGCGATGCCAGCACCAACCCACCCGGGCGCAGGGAGCCCTCGGGGATGGGAAAGCAGCCCCAGTGCTCACAGGGAGCAGTTCTGCAGAGCTGGAGGGTGAGGAACAGCCACGAGCACCGAGGTGCTGGCAGCAGCTCACAGGACGCCCAGCTGTGGGTGCTCCTGCCCCTCTGCTCAGCCCTGCTGAGGCCACATCTGGAGTATTGTGTCCAGTTCTGGGCTCCACAGGACAAGAGGGATGTGGAGCTGCTGGAGAGAGTCCAGCGCAGGGCTACAAGGATGATCAGGGGCCTGGAACATCTGCCCTATGAGGAGAGGCTGAGGGAGCTGGGCCTGTTCAGCTGGAGAAGAGAAGGCTGAGAGGGGACCTGAGCAGTGTCTAGAAGTACCTCAAGGGAGGCAGTGAAGAGCCCTGGAACAGGCTGCCCAGAGAGGTTGTGGAGTCTCCTTCTCTGGAGATCTTCAAACCCGCTTGGATGCAGTCCTGTGCCACGTGCTCTAGGTGACCCTGCGTGTGCAGGGGGTTGGACTAGATGATCTCTAGAGGTCCCTTCCAACCCTGGGCATTCTATGATTCTACAATTCTAGTTACTACCAAACTCTACATCATTCTTGTAAAAGGAGAGAAGCAGATTTGCGACAACCCCCAAATCTTAGCACTGGGGATCGGCGAAACATTCACACCCTACAAGAAATCCCCACAGTTCGGCAGGTCGGAAAGCCGGCGCTCGCTTTCCGAGCCTCGGGACACTCACGCTCCGTAAAGCTGGCGCGGGGCGGCGAACGGGGCGGCGCGGCCGGCGTCAGCCTTGTCCGGCTGCCTCCGCAGGGGCGGGTTGCTGATGGCCACCTTGATGACGTGCTCCTTAATGCTCAGGCCGTCCAGCTTGAGCACGGCCTGCGAGGCCTGCGCTTCGTTTTCGTATTCCACGTAGGCCAGGCCCTGAGGAAACAGGGAACAGCTGCCGAGGGGACGCCCAGGCCCTTATTTCCAGCAAAGCAGATAAAAAGGCAACTCCCCAGCATCTGCCAACAGCTCCAATGAGTTTGCTAAAGCAGAAGCATCATCTCCCAGTCCTACTTTTGTTGCTCCTCCGAGTGACACTCGACCCCCAAAGCCGGGCTGTTTGGATAATCCGGCTTCCCAGGATGGCACAGGCACATTAGGTCTTATGCAACACATTCATTTAAAGTGCATTTATTCATAGTTTAAGCAGAATCCCCACTCAAATTATGCTGGGAGTCTGTGCTGCAAGACCTGGGGTACACCCAAGACCAGTCATTACAAGATATGTATAAATAGAAGCTATTTTAGGTATCCCCAGGAGCTAGAGAGAACAATAAAAATTAATTTACGTGCGCACGACCAGAATGAAGCCTGGTAGAAGAGCCTAACACACAGGCTGGAGGGTCACAGAGGGCTTCCACAGCACAGCAGCTGGCTTTGAATCTCTTATTTAACAAGCACCTACTTATTGCAGGATGGAAATAAGCCCCAGAAAGGTGGCTAATTCTCACTAGCAAATTCATGACTGCAGCAAGTGCTATGAACAACCGCAGCAAGAAACTGAAGATAGGGAGGAAGGGAATCACTTTAGCACGTGAACACTAAGAAGACAGTTATTTTAGAAAACAAATATTCTTTGCAGATTTAATATTATGTCTCCACTTATTATGCTGAAACTGCTGCAAACATTTTTCTCTTCACCCCATTTATACCACACATTCTTCTGATTAAAGTTAAAAGAAACATTCAAGGGAAAAAATGCCCCTTTTCCTGCCCCTTGTCTCTCATTTGTTGTCACAAAGTCACACTACACTGTATAAACCTATGAATTTCTGCAAGTTTAAATGCAAAGTCAGGTTGGCAAACTACTTGTGAGCTTGGCTTACAAAGACTTGTGTTTTAAAAGCAAATGAGACCTGAACAAGTAGTTTGCTAACCTGGCTACTATGAATTTCTGCAAGTTTTAATGCAAAGCCAGGTTAGCAAACTACTTGTTCAGGTCTCATTTGCTTTTAAAACACAAATCTTTGTAAGCCAAGCTCACAAGAAGTGCCTCTTGGAAGGTTTTCTTAAAGTTAACAGTGCACTAGCGATACTTACCTTGGGCTTTCTTCCAGCTCGGTTGGTGACCAACCTGATGTCTTTCACATTTCCATGTGCTTTGCACACATCTTCCAGCTCTTCCTTAGTGCAAGAAAATGGCAAACCAGATATAAACAGTTTGTGTTTCTCCAGTGTAGTGCTATTATCTGAACACTGCAGAAATGAAAAGGCTATTAATGCCCTATCAAGTGAGAAATTTCTCATTATTACACTTCCTAAATCTCCGTCTTTCATCACTACATATTTGTGCAAAATAAACTGATGGGTAGTATTTTGGAAGGTATTTGTATAACTAACTTTCCCCCCAAAAACGAGAACTTTCAAGGAATGACAAATAGTTCTCCAAACTGAGAAGTTTCTGCACCACTGCCTGCCTCGTGGAGAGAACAGCCACTGCTCATGTCTTGGAAGGTATTTGTATAATTAACTTTCCCCCCAAAAAACGAGAACTTCAAAGGAATGGCAAATAGTTCTCCAAAGTGAGAAGTTTCTGCATCACTGCCTGCTTCGTGGAGAGAACAGCCACTGCTCATGTGCCTTCTTGCTCAGCTGTCACCAAGCACTTACCTTTTCTCTGTACAACAATCCAATAATGCAGAAAACTATTAACACACAAGCTGTATCACTTGTATCTCGTACGCATCATTAACGAGCCCCAGTGGATCTATAATAACTGCTTATTAGCAGTACCCACATCACTAACAACTCGCCAAGGTTGGTTTAGTCAGAGATACCTGCTAGTATCAACCTAGTTTATAGCAAGAAAATATAAGAAAGAGGAACTCATAAAAACACTAATTTCCTGCTGCGGTTTAACAGATACCATTCCAAACTAGCAAGATATGAATTCTCAGATGCAAGCCCTGGGGAGGTAACACATTCTGCTAGTTTTTCTAAGCAGTCCCGCTGTTCAATGCATTTCTAGGAAGAATAATAAGAGAGAATTGTACCTTGAAGTCTGGATTCTTGTTCTTGTCAATACACGGAGAAACAAACATGGGTCTTCCCTCCACGACTTTGCGATCCAACCCGAGGGCCTGGAGGGCTGATTTTTCCTCCTTGAATTCCACGTAGCAGTAGCCCCGGAACGTCCCCTTGTTGCTGAACACGGGCCGCACTTCTGCCACCTCCCCGCAGCCCTCGAAGAGCCCCCGCAGCTTCAGCTGCGGCTCTGCCATGCTGTAGGACAGGTTGCTGACAAACACCGTGACGTTGTCCTTGCTGCTGTCGTGGAGAACTTTGGGAATATCTTTGCGACTGGTGGACGCCTTTTCCTTCGGGTTTGGGGGGTGATCGGGCTTTTCGGGCGCGCTCCTTCCAAACAGGCCAGTTTCCACCTCCATTTCTTCCTCGGCAGGTAAAACGTCCCCATCCCCCCTATGTCTCTTGCTGGGTTGCTCTGCTGGTTAATGAAATCAAAAGCCTTACTAGAAAAATTAGACCATTTCTCCCTCTTAATAAATAAATAAGCTGTCCTCCATTAACACTGTAGCTTTGAAAACTGCACGTGAAAACAAGGACAACGAAAGGTCTTAAAGACAGGACATAAACACTTCCCTCAGTCTTCTAATAACAAAGAACAAGATTACTTGACCCAATCAGAAGGGATTTAGAATAAGTCCACACGGATATTTTTCCACTTCCCATTCAGTTATAATGACCTGCTCAAGTTACTTATTTGCCGAATGGGAAGTAACATTTTTTTTTTTCTCCAAAGCAACTACAGATTTTCAAAACTCCCAGGGTGGCAATTTATTCAAAGTTTTCTCTTGCCACCCTCCAAGAAACTGTTGCAATACTGCATAACCCAACTTAGATTCATGCCTGTGCATCAATGGAAACATTTTTTACTGAAAGCACAAGTGATAAATGAAGAAAAAATTATTAAAAAAAAAAAAAAACTCTAAAATTTATTATAAACATATAATCTTGCTTTCATTTCACTACAACTGATAAAAACAGTCTTTCTCCACATGGAATGAAGGTCTCCTAGGACCCTGAAAACAGAGCAACTCTCAACATAATAATGATACCTCTTCCCCATTGACCTCTAACTGAAGAGAAAGAAAAACAGGAATCCTGTGGCCAGAGGATGAAATCTTAAGTTTTTTACCTTCCTCTTCTTGCCCCCATTCTCCCTCATCATCATCCTCTGCTTTGCGCTTATCTCCAGGACGGTTTTTCTTTGCCTTTTTGGAAGCTTTTTTCTCAGCCCGAGACTGCTTTCGTTGCTCAGCTTTCTCCTCCTCCAGCTTTGCCAAAGCAGCTTCTTTCTCAGCAGCCTATAAATATGCACAATTATATATTTAGGAGATGCTAACACAGTATTTTCTAGAGGTGCAGAACCTAGAGATTTTTCTCCTAAACTCTCATCCTACAACAAAGTACAGCACTAACAGGATTATCATTTAAAGAGTACCTCTGTTATTTGTTCTTATAGCCCGCTTAGAATACTCAAGCCATTGTGGTATCCATCCACGTGTCAAAAGGTGAAAGAAATGAGCAACACTGGTAGACACTAACCACACTTTTAAATTAAAAAACAATAGTTTTGAAGAATACAGACAGTACAGGCTCATCCATGGGAACTCACATTAGAAATGTGACATTCAAACAAAGATGATCCTAAAAGAAGCATTTCCTATTAATTGCTTACATAGTTCACAGAAAGTTCTGACCTTTGCTCTTTGTTCATTAACTCGAGCTAATCTGTTCTCTGTTTTTTGAACAGCTGCATCCCAGTCTTCCAGTGTTCCTAAAGGACAAAGAAAACCCTCATATTTAGCTCTTACATATTTTGAAAATACAATTCTCGAAAAACGAGTTTACACATCTTTATTTTAATATTACCCGTTACATGAAAACTCTAACATAACCAGTAGCCTCCTAAAGCCAAGTTGAGCAAAAACCCTCTCATTTGTGATACAAAGCTTCACTGATTTTTTCCACGCCTTTCATATTTTGGCAGGCTCCAGACCAGGACAGAAATAAAAGAACTGTTTCTGCACACTCCGGCAGTCAGAAGGAAGGACTCTTCTCGTAAGTATAAAGATGGAAACAAACTGCATCAAAAATTCACTCAGTACCATTGTATGCTAACTAGGCTTGGGAAAATGACAAGCAGGAAACTTGCTGTTACCTTCTATCCTCTCCAGGGTGAGCAGCACCTCGCAGACGTGCTCCGGGTAGTCACTTGTGCACTGCACAGCTCGATGCAAGGCCTTCCGACAGTGCTGAGTGTCACCATGAGCCCTGCAGCGGGGAAATCACAGCAGGAAGAGCCCATCCTCCCTTTCACCATCATGGAACAGAGATGACCACAGGCCACACAACTGCTGCTCCCTCTTCCCCAGCTAACGCACGCTACGCTTTGTTGGAATATTTCAGAGAGAGGGTAGAGCAGCTGTAAGAATCTCAAAAACCCTTTATAAACTCTTATGGTGTATCAATGCTAATTGTACCTCTTGCCACAAAGTGATGAAACTAAAGGATCTAATTAACTCTTCCATTCAAAGAAGCTCTTACCTTTCAAGGTTGTAATACTCCAGCCACATATTGGCGTATTTGGCATTCCCTTTAGTCATAATGTTGTCCCAAAGTTCTCTGGCCTTCTGCATGTTGTTACATAAGCGGGCCTGAAAAACAGCATTTTAGAATCATAGAAACCAAGCATATAGTGCTTGTTACTAAGCGTAACTCTTCTCTGCTCAGCTGTTGTATCAGTCCTTTTCTCTGGTTCCAAGATACATTTCATTTTGGTTATACAAAGTTGGAGATAATCATTTCTGAACTTTTCTATTTATTGTTATCCCTGAAGGCATCTACTCCTGAGAACTAGTTTTGTGTTTCAGGGCAGTCTAAATAAATACTGCATTTCCTCTATTATTACTCTAAGCCTCTTCAATCTGGGCAGGGGGAATTCAAGACATCCAAGTGGAATTAATCTGATCTAACTTTAGAGATACGTGGACACCACACTACACAGCTGACTTCATAGAACTGCTTTAGCACAAGCTGAATCACACCTAGAAGCACCTCCTTCCCTCTCCACTAAGCGCACAGAAAGTGGAAGATGACGAATTCAGATGCAGACCTATATTTAGTCACAGTGACTACAGTATCCAAGGTTTTGGCAAGCCATTCCACTCATTATGCCCAGAGAAATCGGCACACAAAAGTGTCACTAGTTATCCAGACTCACGTGTGTGTGTGGCAGAAGAAGGAAAAGGAATGTCTGCTCTCACCCAGGGAGTGCATTAGCCTCCCCAGAGGACACTAGCACCACTTCAAAACTATTAGCAGAGGTGCTCTCACCCAGGGAGTGCATTAAGTGCATTACTCTCCCCAGAGGACATTAGCACCACTTCAAAACTATTAGCAGAGACAACAGGGAATTGGTCAGGGTTCAGTGAAGTTTACTGCCTTGTTCAGTGTTCATCCCAGGGCACTGAGGCTGGCCTGGTCACCAGGCAGCTGAATGAGTCCCTCAGACCTGTCTATCCTGCACTGCAGCCACAGAAGTGACAGGCACCAGCCTGGTCCCTCAGGACCTTCTTGGGCACAACGCTGGTTCTTTCCTGTGTTTCTGATCTTTCTGCTGTGCTTCAAGGCACAAACTACATTCAAGGCTGTGCTTGATCAGGTCAGACACATAAAAATGAAGTTACAGAGACAAAAGGAAAATTAACACAGAATAAGGACTATATGCTTCCTGTGCTAAGAATGTTTAAAAACATACATCTCCTCTGGACTAACAATTTAAATACAGCAGACAGAAACATCACCTCAACTCTCGCCCAGTTCTGCATGATGGTGCAGGATGGATCCCCACTCTCACTGAAACCTTTGAATAAAAAAAGAGAAGTATTCTTTGTGAACGGATTTGGAAATAAATTATTTATTAGAAAAGCAAGTTCTACATTGTAGATGAAACATTTTTAGCTTATCTTCAAGTCTCAAACACTTTAAAGGAATTGAATAAAACTAACTCTCCACATGCATTTATAGTTAAAAGAAAATCACTTGCACAAGGGGGAAAAAGGAAAAAAGAAAGAAATACATAGTCGATGCTTTAACTTACGTTCTTCTACTTCTTGTTTCAAATACTCCACAGCACGTGCAAATGCAGACCTCAACTCTTCCAGTTCTTTACTTGAGTCTTGAGAAAAAGGTGACAAAGATATTAAAAAAAATGATTTTCCTCTCTCATCCAATACAGCTTCTCCACTAACATATAAGATAATTATATTGTGAAGAAACAAAAATACTTCAGTAAAACTCTATGTGGATAACAAAACCTCCAATGCCTAACGCACAAACCAGGCATTGTTGTGACTGCAACATCTATTCTCTCAATCAACAACTGCTTTAAAACAAGTCAGCACATTTTATAGGCACTAACTGTCCAAAAGTTAACTTTTGTGAGAGACAAAGATGACTTTTAAGTACTGAAAAAGTATTAGCACTGTTTCAAAGAGATACCCAGAAAACAGCTCGAGTCTTTAGTCACACAGGATACACACCTTGTGTAAAATCCACCCTTCTTCTTAAGTAATCAAGATAGGCCTGCCAGATTTCCACATAGTCCGTTGCCTGAATAAAACCTGCGTTCAGAGCCTTTTCAAAAACTTCTGCAAGAGAAGAGACAAACATGTATTTGCTTTTCAATTATCAGCAAAAGTTGCAAGTGTGGATGTGTGACAGGTCACTACAGTATGGAGGAAGAAAACCACGGAAAGCTTTTACTCCAAAAAGACAAGACAACAGACTCCCTTCCTACATCAATTTACTGCATGGAGGATTTTGTGTAAAAGGTTGATGCAGTAATGCTCAAGCAAAGTTAAAACAAGATGTTCAGAAGGGAAACTACTGCACATAAGCAGCTTTGCTCTAGAAACATGCTGCTGTAAACTTCAGCAGCTTTAACACTGCTGCATAAAGATTACAAGGAATTGCATCAGTATCAGCCAGGTCACTATTTGTCACACGCACAACCTTACTAAAAGTTCACAAAGCCATTTCACGTTGTGAAAAGCTCTGCTGAAGCAGTCCTCCTTTACCAGAAACTGTGCTGTGATCAACGCTGTGCCTTTCCATTGCCAAGAGATACCGAATCCACAGGCCGACTGTCCAGGGGCAGTTCCTCACGGCACGGTCGTGAGCGGATAACACCAGCTCCTTCACCTTCAGCTGCCGGTCCTGAAATGAATAAATAACAGAATTCAGTTCAAGCTCAGTACTCAGGAGAGCCCATCTGAGACAAATACTAGCCTACAAAGAGCTGGCATCTTAAAACAAACAAAAAAACACCACAAAACCCATAACTTCTCAAATATAAGATGAAAATGGGTAAGACAAGATGGGTATTTTCAGAGCTATATTCCTAAAACCCCAGTGAACTCGCTCCAAATAGGACGGGCAGGCTCAGGAGTTGTGTAGGGGTGTAACTGCACGCCACACTGAAGCCCACAGTACTGAACTGCTTGGTTTTACACCAGATTTTCAAGCAACGAGACATGTATATAGTAAATACACAAGGTAAATTCCCAGCTCTTCAAATGCTCAGAGGGGAGAGCAGGATCCAAGCAGCAGGGTGCACAGACTATTCAAGGGAACAGGCTGCTTGTTCTACCTGCAACCTGCTGCCTCGGGCTGCTGAGATAATAAGAGATAATGATGGAGCAACTTGACCTAAGTCTCTTGTACCAAGTTACATTGAGCTCTTAATACCCTCAAATTCTGTCCATGCATAACCCTTAAACATTTCCAACAGTTTATTTGTGCCAGGAAGGTTCCCTAACAATTCAGGGACGAAGAACCACTTTTCCTACAGAAGTGGAATGACCAGGAGGGACATCCTCAGATGCCTCTACCAGAGAAAAAGCCAGGCCTTTCAGTTTGGCTGGTCCCTCCTGAAGAGTTCCTGGCCAGGTAGCCCAAATGGGATGGAAAAGCAAACAAATGTTCCCTTATCAACAGGTACACCACTGATAAAATGGGAAGGAATAAAAGGTAAAACTGGAAATTGCCTTGATATAACCAACAAGTTATCTGGCTACCAGCTTCCTGGGAATTTAAAAACTAAGGAGAAGGACTGAGGTAGAACTTGATGGCCATTTACCAATCACTAAGATTAAAAACGGGAAAATAAAGTCACAAACGCTTTTTTTTTTTTTCTCTCCTTACCAAATACTGATTGTAGCGTGCCCAAAGATCTGGCACAAGGCAGTTCTCCGCCAAAGCCCTCTCATAGATCAACTGAATGCGAGCTGGATCACCTGCTTTCATTTCAAAATCAATATAGGCTTGATATTCTGCCAGCTTTGGTGTTTCAGCACTCAGCTATAAGGCAAACAGGGATACAGAAAATAAACATCTTCCAAACAAAGCACGATTCAAGCAATTCAACCCTCATTCATCTTGCAAAGAGGTCTCATGCAAAGTTGCAAACAAGAGCCCGGCCCCTAAACAACAATAGTCTCAAAGGTTTCTGTTTAGATTTTCAAAGATTTCCAGCTTTTGATTTTCAGAAATCTCTGAACACCATTCTGGTTCTAAAGTCAGATTCAGATCCCTACTTATTTCTCCAAGCCCGGGACATACATCAAGTTTTGAAGAAACAGCCACAGAACTAAAATTTGTACCTTAGTTTTGGCTGACCCAGCACAGCAAATAGATAATCCTGTTTCTACAGTCTCCAGTACACGATTGTTAAGTTTCTTGCACACTGCTCACAATTAAGGTTCACTTAGCAATGCTCAGAGAGCTACTTTACCTCCACTACTAGAGACAAAATCATGCCAAAGCAACTCATTATCTCTTGGTCTTAAAAGAGGGTAGAAATAACAGTTACCAGTGCCTCTTCATACGGTTTATACTTCTCCAGTTGCTGCAGAGCCTTTTTGTAGTTCTTTATTATTGTTTCTGGTATTGGATCTTCTGACCATTCCTCATATTCAGCATATGAAGCTTCCATATCTATTAATACGAAACCCCATCACTAACACATTCACTGGACTAGGCAATCAGAATTCAACCTATGCTTGAAGCTAACACATATGCACATTTCTGCTTACATTTGCTTATCTTAACTCTCTCACTACCGCATGTCTAAAGGGCATTCTAAAGCAAACTAGGGACAAATTAGTTTTAAATTGATGGCTTGATTTGGACAAAAAAGAGGGGCAAGACTCCTAGCACTTTAAAGAAAGAGACTGACCCAAATTCTTACAATATATAAATGAAGCCAAAGAGTTCTGCTTAACTTTCTCCTGTAAGCATGCAAAGAAGCAAGAAAAGGGAGGCAGGAAATTTAAAGTATGAACCTGATGCGGCAGGATTCTAATAAACCAGCTGACAGCATTTATTAGCCACAGTTCTTGATCTTTACAGTGGAATTCCCCATTCTTAATAGTCTTGTTTCTTGCTAATCACTTGTACCCTAGGAAGCTCAGATGACTTCAAATTATATACTGAAAAGCACACTGACACAAGCATTCCAAGGGCTAAGGGAGCAAGTTTCAATGAACAAGAATTATTTCTGAAAAGGGACTCATGAGTTGTTCAGGAGACCCTCGAGACAGGCAAATCTCACTGAATAAACCATATAAACACTAGAGCTGCAGCAAGAGAAGAGCAACAGCTAACGCTGCCTCCAGGCAGCGTGTCCCGTCGTGCTCCGAGCACGCAGGCCCTTACCCAGGAGCGGGATGCCCAGCTGGCGCCGGAACAGCGTGTGGATCTTCTCGAGTTGGCTGCTCCGACTGCCGGCTTGATCCTTACGGAGCAAACCGGCAGCCCGGGTGACGAGCGGAAAAGCTCAAACCTGGAAGCTGCCACATTCAGAGCTGGATGAATGCACAAAGCGGTCCTTACTGAAAGCTGACACATACATGGGGAAATAACGACCCCGAGACATGGCACGTGAGCGTGCCACTCCAAAAACCCACGGGCTGCCAGGCGCGTTTCCAATAAATCTGATGCACAAGTAACTTAAGACACCCAACTTTCCATTTATGAAAGACAGAAAAGGTGTTCTCCAGTTACTGTTTTTTTTAAGAGCTCCATTAGTGACCAGTTAACTCCCACATCTCACGTGGTAAACTGTCTACAAACAGCAGTACTGATATTCTGGCCACCTTGCATTTTTGGTACACTTCAAACTTGCAGCATATTATAACCAAAAAGCCTCGACAAGGGGGAAATAACGAATGAATTCCAATCTGAAGTGGGAAGATAATTATCATGTTTTTATTTGTAGAGCACACGGCTAAACACTGCATGGCAAGAACATCACTGTGCTTAATAACGGGGGTACCGGGGGTTGTTGTGGCACTTGTGGGGCCACCTACCTGGGCCGTCTCCAGGATGGCGTTCTCGAACTCGCGGTACGCCTCCCACAGCGCCGTGCCCTTGGTCACGTGCAGCCCCACGGCCGTGAGCGCGCGCTCGAACACGGCGCGCACGCGCTCCACGCCGCCCTCCTGCCCGATGCCTCCGATCGAGTACTGCGCGTATTCCAGCCAGATTTCCGGACCTGGGAGAACGTGCGAGAAACGGGTAACTCCATCCCCATCAAAAAAGGAGGGGAGGAAAAGAAAATAAAAGCTGGTTCCTCAACACCTATCGTTCACAGTACACAAGCAGAGCAAGTTATATGAATTGTCCTTATCATGCAATAGAGGGGGAAAAAAAAAAAGTATATTCTGCGCACTTGTATCAGCATCAACACTGCAGTGGTACAAAACAAGTTCTGTCTTTTAACAGCCTTTAATTCCTATGCTACAGGAAAAAAAAAGGACCATTTCACACTAACAGTTTTGATCCAATTTCTGCATGATAGCAGGAATAACAAAAGGACAAAAGGATAACACCTTCCTGGAAATAGAAATCCATAATCCAAACGCAACCCTGGGTTTTGTGGGGTACATCAACACTTACAGATGTAGTCCTTCACAGCTCTCTCAAATAGCTCATAAACTTTCTCCCGCTCGGAGCTTTCAGAAGCCATTTTTATCTCATCCTTCAGCCAGTCCAGCCAAATCTCTGAAAGCAAGAGGTTCAGAATGAATCACCACCACGCAGAAATATTACATTAAGTCCACTTGCTGAATAGTTCTATTATGCTTTAAAACAGGCTCCTTAAAAAGATGGAAGGAGGGAAGGGGGAGAGGAGAGCAAGTCTGGCCTCCACAACTGCTCCTGGGTAATTTCGATGAAAAGTCATTTCCAGCTGGGTACTAAACAAGTATGTTTATATTTGGAGAGAACAGAATTTGCAAACAGTGACTTAGCAAGACCTCGGGCAGAGGATCAGTGTGGTGTCAGTAACTAAAGGAGCACAAAGAGATGCATCTTTCCTGAAAGCACCATGAAAAACAAGTATCAAGATCTGACAAACACATTATTTTGCTACGGAAACAAGGTCCTTTCATGCAGATGACATGTAAATAGCTTCTGTACCTTCAGTGAGTGGGAAGAGTTCACTCATCTTCTGACGGGCTCTTCTGAGCTTTACCAGCTCTCCCTCCTGGCGGAGCAGTTTTATCAGGTCCAAGTGACAGTTGTAGTCAAAAGCATTGATAGAAAGCTTAAAAAATAAACAATAAAAAAGACTTTTTCAAGCACTGTTAAGTGACAGATCTGTACAAGTCAAAAAAACAGCGGAATGGATGATCACCAACTGTTTACTCAGGAGACACAAAACGCATTTTCCTGCACCGGGCAGTGCCAAACCTCACTACCGTTTGCAAGATGCTTTCAGGTCACAACATTCCTTGAGAAACGCTGCCAAGTTAAACAAATCTTTAAATCTTTCAGCGCTAAGAGCTGCTGCTGAGCGGGGCAGCCGCTGAGGTCGGGAGCGCGGGGCTCCTGCTGCGAAACCCGCCAGTGCCAAACCTCACTACCGTTTGCAAGATGCTTTCAGGTCACAAAACTCCTTGAGAAACGCTGCCAAGTTAAACAAATCTTTAAATCTTTCAGCGCTAAGAGCTGCTGCTGAGCGGGGCAGCCGCTGAGGTCGGGAGCGCGGGGCTCCTGCTGCGAAACCCGCCAAGAAGCGTTTTCAACGCGTTTTCTGTTTCCTCGATAGCCAAAACAAAACAAACGCAGAGCCGGAAGCGCGTTTTCGATGAATGAAGCTGTTCATTCACTCGCCAGGGCTTTTGCTCGCAGATTTTTTGAAAGAATACCCCAGAAAAAAATGGAAAAAAAAAAGAAAATCTCCCCGCACACACACACTTCAGACCCCGCACGTTTCCACCCGCACAACGTCAGCGCCAGCTACGCGGGACCCCCGCGGCTTTGAG